TTTTTCCGGATTTTTTTGTAGAGCTTCTCACGGCGTATCTTTTGAAAAAAACCAAGGTTCTAACATTTGTCTATGCTGAGATATTTGCAAAATATTTGATGTTGCAATCATTTTGATTCATTCGGTAATACTTCTGAATAATTTTTAAAAACAAAAAAGAATTCTAATAATTAATCATTACCTCTTTCTTTCGCCTTCCCATGATCATTTGAAAACTTTTTCGAATATCTTCTATATTGCTTTTGCTTTACCATATATGTTTTATAGGCTTAAAGTTGATTTTGATTCAGCATATCTCTAGTCATTATTTGATTTCTTATCTTCTGAATAAATTTATTTTAGAACACTAACTCAAATAATTATGTTTATTTATTCTAGAATAGAAGATCAATCAAAATAGGTAAAAAACTTAATTACATTATATTTAAATGTTCGTTTGGAACAAAATGAAAAGCTTTATTTATTGAACCATATGTCATTGTTGTTCAAGAAAAAGTGAATTATTTTCGAGTAAGTTTTTTTTTTTATTAATCAAAATTCATCAAATGAATTTTAGAAACTTTTTTCTTCACTTCATTTGCATATTGCATCTTATGCTGGTACAAGTGATTCTTATCATTCCTATTCTAATAGTCATATAATAATATGCACTATTGAAAAAGCTGATAGTATACAACAATATTTAGTTTAAATCAATTAGCACAATGGCTTGATGCTGAAGTTTATCAAAAACAACATTTCGTCCAATACTACCTGAAGAATATATTAAAATTGATAGAATATTATATAATAAATAATTTATTCCTATAGGAGAACTTTATTTTATCTGATCAATGGAATAAAGGTGATAGTGAACGTACAACAGAAATTATCTAGAATGTTATAGAAATAAATTGTCATTGTGTACTTTTTTTTTGTTCAACTAAACATTGGTGTGAAGTTTTAACAAAATTATTAGCTAAAAATGTTCGATGTATTATTCAAGATAATAAAAAAAAATAAATAAATCCATTTAATGCAACAAAACTTGATGATGTTGTTGAACAATTACATCGTACTATAAGGAAATTAAGACAAAAATTTTTTTGATTTATTGTTTATTTTTTTTCTAGCCGATTGATCTTGGCTCTGAACTGGCTTGTTCAATATCAATTGGTATTGATTTTCATCATGCTAGTAGAAAGAAAAGTTTTTTGTTATATAATGATTGAATATATATCAATATTTCAGATTTGACAATTGATGAAAGAGAAATAATTGACAATGCTTGTCGTGCGAATATTATTCGTGTCATTGTTTATACAAGTACATTAGCTAGTGGATTAAGATCTGTTTAAGAAAAGTTTATTGTGATAAACGTAGATCATTTATTTCGCTCATTGAATAGTTTATAATAACCATAACAATAGCTATCTCAGATCATATCGAGTTACTAAGAAAATTGCAAATTATGGTTTATGAAACAAGTAATTTGAAATAAAGCAGTTGATTCGTGAGTATTACTAAATTACGATCTCCAACATATATAATTGATTACATCAGATAATAATTCATAATTTGCAATTTTCTTAGTAACTCGATATGATCTGAGATAGCTATTGTTATGGTTATTATAAACTATTCAATGAAGTGACAGTGTCAATATATGCATTTAATTGAAAAACTTTTCCTTGAGTTTTAGATGAGAATCATATCGTAATGAAACTATGATCAATATTGAGGATCATAAATTTTCAGTCGAATATAGTTGTAATGTTTTATCTGATTAAGTTAATCTTCCTACTCGTTTAGTTATTATTCGAAGTCCACTCCAAAATGGTCATTGTATTGATCTCAAGACTTATCATCAAATGGTATGCTTACATTAATTTGTTTACGTATAAAAATTTATGTTTTCAGGTCGGTCGAGCAGGACGAAAAGGTTATGATGATTATAGTAAAAACAAAAAACAAAAAACAAAATACTAATTATTAAATTTGTATTTAAATTATTTTTTTAATATTAGCGGAAAGTATATTGATTTATTCGAAAAAAAAAGTTGATCTTGTACAAAAAATGTCTGAACAAGAAAAACTAAAATCAATAAATAATTGTTTTTTTTCAAACAGAAATGCATACAAGTTTTAAACGAGCTTTACTTGAGATTATTACAAGTAGAAAAGCAAATACTAAAGAACAAATTATTTCGTATATTAAATCGACATTTTTCCATATTTGTTGTTTAAATTAACCCTTTGACGGGCGGTGGNGATTTTTCATGCTTTATCGGATGTTCACAATTTTTTCGTCGTGGCATTGGAATAGATTTTTAAAGATAAAGAGATACTGATGGGTAGTCGATATTTTCTAATATCCAATGATTCATCTCGTAATCTTATTCGTGTGAAATCACAACATTTTTGAACAAGACTCGAGAATCATTCATAAGCTTCGTCATCTGATTTGATCACTTTAAGCAGTAGAAGCACTTTGACTTGATAATGTCTATGATTTGCGATTTGTTCAAGAGTGAGATACTATTGGGCAATTGGATTCTCCTATCAAAAAATAGTTTGTTTAATATTTGAATAAACTTTTTTGATTCCTATTCTTCTGTTTTTTGTTCATCATCTACTATGCCTAAGGGAAATCAATACAAATCTGATGTAAAATCCTTGATGTTTCGGATACTAAAGTTTGTTGAGAGTGAAAAAGAAGTTTCAGTTATACCTATGTACAATGTGACAGATCGATTGATGCATATGTTAAATATTTCTCATGGATCACTTTTTTATTTGAAACAAGAATTAACAGCTACTATGGAAGATCGAAATGCATCGAAAAGAACATTGCATTCAAGAACAACAACAGTTGAAGATGAAACGGAATTTTCGAGAGCAAAATCACCTAATAGACCGGGTCATTCTGGTAGACCAAACATCGTTTTATCAGAATATGGAAAAGATATGTTAAGATATGAACTTCACGAGTTATTATCTGAAAAACAATACCCAACGTTACATCGTTTATTGACACGTTTGAAAAAAGACTTGCCTGATTTTCCTATCAACAGCATTACAACATTGTCTAAATATTTGAAAGAATTAGGTTTTGTTTACAGAAGAAATGCTTCTGTTAAAACAATTTTAGATTCAACTTATTTTATTGCTGAAAGAGCAAGATATTTTCATCGGTTAAATGAATTAGAAGAAAAAGGTGCTGTAATTTATTATCAAGATGAAACATGGTTCAATCTCAATGAGAAAAGAAATATTTGGATTGAATCAGATACTGGTCAAGGAAGATTGCGTACTGGTAGTGGAAAAAGTAAAACAAGCTGATTTAAAAATTGGTGTATTGATAGAACATTCTACACTTTTATCACGTATTTCTTTAGGTAAACGATTAATAGTCAATGCCTTGATCAATTGTAATGGTTTTCATTTTCCAAGCGTTGAGGTATTCGAATCGGATGAGTCCCATACAATGAATTCAGATCATTTTGTTGGCTGGATAAAACGAACTTCAGGTATTTTGCAAGTTGAAGCAGGTGAGTAGCTGACACGTATCTTTTTCATAGTATGCTAAATGCCTATGATGACTAAGATTTTTTCTGTTTATAAAAAGGTTCAAATAATAAAATTTGCATTATCTATGATAATGCAAAATGACATAATAAACTAACTGACTTCAGTCGAACCCCATTAAGAGCGTGGAATAAAGATGCGATTCGTGATTGGTTAGAACAGCACCAAATTCCGTATCCTGATCATTATTTTAAAGCAGAATTGCTTGAGTTATGTCACACCAATGCTCCACCTAAACAATATCTTGTCGATGATGATGCTGCATTATGTGATGTAGAGATCTTACGATTGCCCATCAGGCATTGTATGCCTAATCCGATCGAAATAGTATGGGTGTGTAAGTATTTTTCATCATTTTTTGTGAAAATGATTCAAACTGTATATCGAAAGCACAAGTACTGTGATACAAACAATATTCTTTATTATTTTTTCTGATTTCAGGTATGAAAAATTATATTCGAAATCAAAATACATCATTTAAAGTGCAAGATATTCGTGAATTAGCTGCCAACTAGTTAGCTGCTTGTGATGAATCAACATAAACAGGATTTTTTGAGAAAACGAAAGAATACGAGACGACTTTCAAATTAGCTGATCATTATGTTGAATCAATTGAAACAACATTGCTAGATACTGATGATGATGAATCTTATATCCATTTAGATGAAGATGATTCAAGTAACAACAGTGGCAATAAATAAGTTGACTTTTTTTATACCACTGATTTATATATTGTGGGATTTAATTAGTATATTTTACTGTGGATCTAAGATGATCTGAGAAACTCAACAAATATATCATTTTTTTCTCATTTATGATGACCTGAAGTGGTTGTTTACCATCCATATGCTCCTTTGTTGGGAGATAAAAACTTGTTTATTTCGTATTTTTCTATGAATCTTTATGATTACTGGTACGGAATAAATCCATAAAATAGATTTTAGAAAAATGAGTGCCATTTAAGAACCGCAAAAGCTAGAGAGCTGAGCCTTTCGCCATTTTGTAGAGGACTCTTTGGGCTATCTCTTCCATAGGTTAGATATATCGATTCTTATGGAACTTGTAGAAACAATATCATTCTCTTTGAAAGATTCGTAATGATAAAACATTGAATCTACATGGATTTCCAGCAGGTCTTTAATATATATATATAATGTACTCATTTACCTACAAAATAGTGAAAACCCCAACTCTCTAGCTCTTTCCGTTTTTCAGCTATTTCAAAAATACCCGAATCTATTTTATTTTTGGACAGGCAGTAGTTCTTCTAGATGAAGTTAAGTTTCTTCATTAGTCCTTCAACTACTGAGCAATCGTTGGCAATAGATTTTTTTTTCTTTTAGTAAAGTTTGATTATTGCAGATTTCTTTGATATTAAATTTATTTCGATTCGATTGGTCACTGCAATTTCACGACAAAAAAAATTAAACTTTTCTTTTTATGTATTATTTGATTCTACATCGGAATTAATATAATCAAAAAAATATTTATCGAATGTCTATCATTTCTTTAATTTGATTAAATAATAATCAGAATGATTTATTTCAGATTATTCGGTTTCAGAAAATACTTTTGTGATTGTGCGTACAGTATCAATCATATTCTTGACACCTCTCATTTGCGGAGCCTTTTGAGTAGCATAATAGACTTCACTATATCCCCACCAGTCCCAGCAACCCATTGGATTTGTTGGAAGCATTAATGAGCTTCGAACTTGTGGAAAGATCATAATGATATCGTTTAATTCGGCTACTTCTAAATAACCGGCTTTTGTAGCAAAAACATCTCCAGCAGCGTGTTTTCCTATAAGATTAGAAAAAAAGAAAGAAATGAATTATTTGTCTAGATTCGTTGAAAAACTAAATAGATAAAAACCTTGTTGACAGCCATGTAAGGCAACATGAATTGAGCATCTTTTACCATTGGCACATGCTGATGGAAAATAGATAAAACCTTCATCATCGAAGCTAGCTGAAGAACGGCGTGTTGTTATTGATTTCTTGTTCGACAATTCATTGGGCATTACTAAATTGAATAGACCTGAGGGTGACCATTCCCAATCGTCAGGAGTGTATAAATACATATTGTTTTGAATCCAATCTGATAGAGCAGATTGTGTAATCTCTTCTTGTCTCACATTATCAGGAAAACTCATGAATGCTTCCTGATCAAACATGAGCATTTGACCGAGCAGTGGTGTTTTTGCATGGGGTGTTGGTTGAATCAGACTACCACCGTAGAGATGATTGAGCATGTCATATGCCAAATTGAAATTACTAGAAAAAAAAACAAATTTATTGTATTTGAAGTATAGAATTGATTTATTGCTACCAATTGTTAATATAGTTTGCTAAATTCAATAAAATACATGATGCACCAAAATCTTCAGTAGCGAAACCATGATTAGCTGGCATACCGAAATTAGTCTTTACTGTTGCATTTAATTTTTGATAAAGCTCTGCATTTAGTTTGACAACACCAGGATAAGCTACTTTATCATATTTACCCGAAAAAACATAAACACGATCACCAGCAATATTTGAAGGATCATCAATATAGCCATTTGATGCATAATATTTTACTTTGTATTCTAGATTCGAAACAAAAATGTATAATGCAGGACCAGTCATACAAATAGCGGTTGTTAATCCACTGCCAGCACAATAATAAGGTGGACCTGCTACTACACCAGAACCACTAATGTCTTTTGAATATCCAATATGTAATTGTGTAGCCATGGCACCTCCCGAAGAGATACCTGACACTGTTACATCTGTTCGCGGAACACTAGCTGAAACCAATGATATAAATAACACAATAACAGCATTCAATATAAGATACATCACCATCCTCTTTGCCTCTTTTTAATTTAAATAGATGATCAAAACAGAGACCAACAGAAGAGAAATAATTTGTAATCTGCGACGAATGAAAACATATTCTTTTTACAGTAGCTTAAATAGCATGTTTTCGATAGACTATATCTAATAGCCATCAAAAAGGGATTAGAGCATGATTGATGATATGATTCTTTGCATGCTATAAATGAAATTTAATATTGGAAAAATAGGATGATATATTATCACAGTATATGAGTCGTCGTTGTGATGGCAAACAGCATTTTAGATAATATTTCGCGACATGAAAGAAATTGAAGATACTAGCCTTTCGAAACATCCGATTATTTCTTCCACCTGGTACATTCTAATTTAAAAAATATTCGAAGAAACCTATCAGGTAATATTCTTAGTAAAAAGTGCATTTTTCATAGTTACATATCAATTATTTTAATCCATAATTGAAAAAAATGAAATCATTTCCAAAAAATTACAAAAAACAAATTATCGATCGTTTTGATAGAGTAATATAGAATTCCATCGCAGGAGAATTTAATATTCTTTTTCGAGAATGATTTACTGATAAATGGTATTGATTAAAATAAAATCGAATCACATATCAATAGATGATAAATTTCATATTACAAAAATCGAAAGAGATTTTTATCGAATTCTTCTCAAATATAATTAATTAAATAAATTGCAATATTGATTTAGAAAGAAGAAAACGATGGCATCACTGGAAAAGAAATGAAATCATGAATAGGGTGTGGTTGTGGGGCGTGGATGTGTGGGTGTGGTTGTGGGTGTGGGTGTCAGTGTGGGTGTGGGTGTCGGTGTGGGTGTCGGTGTGGGTGTCGGTATGGGTGTCGGTGTGGGTGTCGGTGTCGGTGTGGGTGTGGGTGTCGATGTGGGTGTGGGTGTGCAACTGTTCTGTTCTTATACCGACATCCACACTCACACCCATATCCACACCCACACCCACACCCACCCTGTGAGCGTGGGTGTGGATGTGAGTGTGAGTGTGGGTGGGTTTGCAATCAAAGCACGCCCTCACACACACTTACACCCACACACACCCCACACAACCCCGCACACCCCACACACCCACACACACCCCACGCACCCACACTCACACCCACACCCACATGCACATCCACACCCACACTCACATGCACATCCACACCCACACTCATCTTATGAAAAATATTTGATGTTGCCGGGAAAGATCCTTCATCTGTTCAATAAGCTTCCTTTCAAAGACTCGATGTCTTTATCTGTGAAAATAAGAAAATCCTGAAGTAAGCGTGTAGTCATGGGATTTCAGAGTTCTTGATAAGATTTGAAACAAGATTTAGTGAGGATTCCAAGAAGATTACTTATTTTGAATCTGAAATCGTCCCTGAAACTTTTAAGCGGAGAAAAATTTATAGTCGTGGAATTCCAAAATTTTTGCAGAATTTCAACGAGGATTGAATCAGAATCTTGGCTACTTTATCACTTCATTTAAAATCACAGCATCGTTCAGAAAACCGAAGTTTTAGCTAGAAATGTAAAGTGAATGAATATTAGATATTTTGACTAAATATGTACGAATTTCAGATCTTTCTAGACAGACATCAAGCCCGAACTTCCTGAGCTCTGTATTCTCGTGTTCAGTAGCACCCGGGTACCGAGATTTCCTGATTTACTCGGTTATAGAGTTGAAGCACCATTAAGAACTAATAGAATGTGCACATATATCATTGGCTGATAGAAATTTTATACTACAAAATGCTAATCTTTTTAAAACTAACTAAGAGTAATTTGATCCATGGAAAAAGGTAAAACGAAAAAGTTACTTTTTGGAATTCTTTTTATATTGAAATGAAACCAAATACTCGAAACTCTCTGCCGTATTGAGCTTGCTCTTCTTATAATGATCACCGCCTACCATAGATAAATCTCTTCTCATAGAACATCTAAAGAGAGTAAGCATTTCGAGAGTAAACAAATACTATATCATCAGATTGACAAATCTTTTGCTTAAAATTACTCATACTACTCAATAACTTATACATATATAGGAGGGTGTGGGTGTGGGTGTGGGTGTGTAAGGTGTGGATATGAATGACGAAAGAACAAACCCACATGCACACCAACAGCCTTCCCTCATGCGTTGCATAATAAACCCTTCTCTTCATTATTCTAGAAAAATATATTATTTTGCGTGCAATAATAAACTCTTCTTTCAATAATGGTAGAATGATCTACCCTTAGGCATATAATGATAAACCCACTTCTTGAGACCGTAGAGTGATCTACCCCTGTGCTGCAATCGTTGAATAATCTACCCTTCGGTGTAGAATAATAAACCCTTTTGTGAACTCGATAGAGTGATCTACCCTTACGCATAAAATAATAAACTCTTTCGTAGTCCTCGCAGAATGATCTACCCTGACACGTATAACAGCATACTACTTTAATGAAAACGTAGAATAATATACCCCTGAGGGTAGGGTAGAATAATGAATCCTTTTTATAGAATCTTTGACTGATAAACCCTCAGCTACGCGTCGTATACCCTTTTCATTTTTATATGCCCTCATTGTTATAAACCCTTTGGTTCATAAACCGTTAAAGGATATATAAAGTCGTCATAAACTCTTGAAGGATTTGTGGAAGCGCTTTTCAAGTAAAAAGGTTTATTATTCTACGGATTTTTTTATCAGTGCACTCACCCACACACCCGCACTCACCCACATCCACACCCATATATTGATTAGGATGATCACATAGAGAAACACAGAAGAATACGAAAGGGCGGGAAGAGAAAACGAGAAATAGATCTGACCACATAGATGGTGACGTCAATCTATAAAGGGTGGCCCAGAAGTCCTGACTCGATTTGTGTAATAAATTTTTCTATAGTGAAGCACATGGTTGTAAATTTGTTTCTATAAAGAAAAGATGCAGCAAAAGATGCTCTACAAAATGACTGTTGAATGATCCCGCTAGCTCATGTAGTAAGAAAGTTATAAGCTTAGAAATGTGCTTCAAAAAAAATAAAAATTAACCGCGACCGCGGTTTCGGTATTTTTGCTATAACTCCTGTTCCTTATGTTTCCTGGAACAAATTCTTTTTTTAATAGAAGCCCTGTGACATTCTCTACAAAATCATACTTAAACTTTAATTGCAGAACTTCAATCAAGAAAACTAAGCAAATGATATATGAAATGAAAAAAATAAAAACTCTACAAATTTGGTATTATGCTTCACTTGAACTTTTTCTTTTTCTATTATTTCCGTAAAACAGCGTAGTAAAAGTGTGAACTCAGTTGATTTTGGTACTTTCAGATGTACTCTTTCTCACAGTATTCAAAACTTTTTTTAGATCGGATAGTGTGTTCGAGATGCACGTTTCAAAACCACGTGAAAAATCCGATAACCTCGTTTCCGACAATGTACTCAGCAAGAAACGGAAAACGTGATCGAAGTTTTGATGATGCAGCTGGTTAGAGAAGAGTAATCATTTCTGATCAAAACAAAACAAACCTGATCGAAAAACCTTTTGTTCTGATGAAGTTATGGGACTATTACTGGAAGCGCCATAATACAGACCGGGTTCACGGTTAATTTTTATTTTTTGTGAAGCACATTTCTAAGCTTATAACTTTCTTACTACATGAGCTAGCGGGGTGATTAAACAGTCATTTTGTAGAGCGTCTTTTGCTGCATCTTTTCTTTATAGAAACAAATTTACAACCATCTGCTTCACTATAGAAAAATTTATTACACAAATCGAGTCAGGACTTCTGGGCCACCCTTTATATATATAATAAGCATCTTGGATTAATCCAAATAAAAAATAGAAGTAGAAAGATAAATCCAATATCAAGAATAAGATGAATACCAGTAAAATTCCTACATAGCAATAAGGAATTTTCCATCATAGCGATAGAGAAAATTCCTATATTAACACTGATAAGACTCGTTCTTTCACTCATTCCCGCACCCACATCCACACTCACAATTTATAACCCTTGTAACATTTTGTCGTTTTTCTCAACTATCAACTTTTGAGAAGAACATTGTAACTTTTATGCTGCTTATAATGTTGCCATTTTCGGTATATATTTAAAAAGTATTAAAAAGAAAACTAGTTTATCACTAGAAACTAATACCGATATTGCATAAAATCGATCATCTTTCCAATCATAAAACGATATTTTCAGTTTTGGATTAATTTAAAGTACTTCCTCCATATCCTGTATTCCTCGTGGAATAATATCATTGTTTGTAACGTCAAATGTGATAAGTGTCTATATGAAATAGCAAGTCAATGATAAGATAAGGTCGTTAAGGAAAGTGTTACTTTGTTGTGTTCTAAAGAATCGACAAGATATTGTACTCCTTCATTACTGATTTGATTGCGCGAAAGATTCAGTATGGTGAGTGTCTATGTGAAGATAGTGAGGGAGCAGTGGTATAAAGAGGTTGAATTCAATGTTACACTGTTTTGCTGTAAAGCTTTGGCAAGATATTGTACTTCTTGTGAACCGATTTGATTGTTCCAGAGGTTCAATGTGGTAAGTGTCTATTTGAAATAGTCAGTGAATATTTTGATAAGGTCAAATAAAGTGCTACTTTGTTTTTTTGTAAGGCATTGGCAAGATGATGTATTCCTTCATCACCGATGTGATTGTTGAAGAGGATCAATGTGGTAAGTATCTGTATGAAACAGTAAATGGGCGATAGACCAAGTAGATTGGAAGAAATTTTACTTTGTTCTGTAGTAGAACATGAGCAAGATGTTTTGCTCCTTCATCACCTATTCGATTATACCCGAGGTTAAGTGCATTGAGTGCCTGTGTCAAATAGTGGATATGTGATTGTGCGAGCAGTTGGAGAAAAGTTACTTTGTTTTGTTGTAGAGCATTGGCAAGATGCTGTACTCCTCGTGGACCAATCTGATTGTTGTAGAGGTGAAGTATTCTGAGTGTCTGTATGAAATAGTGAATGAATAATTGGATAATATTAAAATGAATGTTTACTGTGTTTTGTTTTAGAGCGTTTGCAAGATATTCTGCTCCTTGTGGACCGATTCCATTGGAAGAAAAGTTCAAATCGATAAGTGTCTGTATGGAATAATGAATGAGTGATGGGATAAGAATATTGAAAGAAATGCTACTTTGTTGTGTTCTAAGACACAGGCAAGATGTTGTGTTCTTTGTTGACCGATCGAAAGAGAACTGAGATCAAGTCGAGTGAGTGTCTGTGTAAAATGGGAGAGAGTTAAAAGGACTAAATGATTTGCAAATTAATTTCATAGTTACATCGTTAAATTCTAATTTTTGTTTTAATAATTCAATATATGATAGAGTTCAAAAACACTTCTTTAATATGTAGTATTTTCAGGAGATAAAAGAACCTGAACATGCCATCGAGTATTATAAGTTATTATAACGAGAAGAACATGTCTGCATCCCTTTGCTAGGATTATGAAAGGATTATTAGGAGCAAGAAAATATCAATTAGTTCGGTTCAGGCTGAAGATCCATTGCTGTAAATCGCGGCGGATTCGATGTAGATTGAGGTAAAAGAGTCTTTCAGTATTATCTATGTTTTTCAATTCTTATCAGTTCGTGACCTTTCAACCACATTCAATCTAAACTGGTTTGGAAAGCGATGGAATCAAAGATAATGAGGTTCCTCGTGTTTATTCACTCTAAAAATCAATTATGCTTATTTGGGCAAAGGACAGAGATGACCGTTTACATCTCACCGATGAGGTTTTAGCCTCAATCACTCTCAAACCGAAACTAGACTGGAATAAACGATCATGTATCAGACGTCAAGGATTACCTGTGACTGTCGACATCTGGTTCATAACTTGCTCATGTGCTCAACCTCGAGTCTCAGTGATTTCACTCTGACTTGTAACAACTAGTAAGGTTGCAAATAGTTTCAGCGATGGATGAAAACTCTAGTCTGTTTCCTTTCAAGAAAACAAAAACTTCCGACTGTTAGAGAAGATTGTGCTTTCCCCTTTCACTTTCCACAGTAGTGCGGCTGTATTTATCTTTTTCTGAAGTCTCGACATGTTTGGGAATTAAAGTAACTATTATAGAACAGATAAATACTTCTTGCAGGTAGCTATGTATTAATAATGAAAACAATATTCTAGAAACATAATTTATCATAATATTTGAGTTGAGTGCATTATAGACTAGGATTAGAAGGATATGATATGATCATAGAATGGAGATTATAGATGATTCATTAATGTAGGAATATAATGATAACTTAGCTAGTCGACTGATAACCATAACCAATTGATAATCTCTCGAACCAATTAAACGTTAATCGATTAGATTGAATAACCGGTATGAGTCGATACTCACTGTTATACACTCATATGATATAATACTAGGCAGCAATCGATGTACGAAGGTCCGAGTGGTTTAGCATTATTCCAGTCTAGAGATTCTCTCTACGTGCTCAAAGTATGGATTTAAAAGTGGGTAACCATTTTCGGTAATTACTTGGGGAGAGAGTATTTCCGACACACAAACTGCTTTCTGGAAAATTTTTTTTTACAGCTTTTGATTAGCTTCCGCCTTTCACTCAGTATCAAAAGCTTTTAGAAATGGCTTTAATATTCTCTTAGACATTCTTTTTTCAGAGCAATTCTTGAGAAGTTCCTCTGTCAAATAAACAAAAAAACAGTGAACTTTTGTACAGAGTATTTGTATTTAAACATTCGTGAGTATTGACGAATCTAGCTGAATATTGGTGAGCATTAGTAAAACCTCGTGAGTATCAGTTCATAATACTATATCACTAATGTCATTACCGGTTCATATCAATTATGGATTAATTATTCAATCGATCCCATCTGTTACTCTATCTAATAGCTTATTGTTTCGAACCGATAAATCGTTGGCGGTAAATCGGCGATTAATCGTCACCATTGCATTCAATCTTACTGAGACAAGAACTACATAAACTCTGCTGCGAACTTTAGTGAACAGTAAGATTGTAAAAGACTCTTTTTTTGTAGGTTATTTTTACGTTAATTGAGTTTTTATGTATCTGTTTCCTACTAATGGTTGGTCTCAGTTAATAGCTGCAGTTGACTATTTTCCACTAGTTTATCTGAAATGGAAAAATAAGTGACTTGCAATAAAACACTCTAACAAAAACAAAAGCTCTAATAAAACTACAGTTTAGTTCAAGAAACTTCTCATGAATGGATCTATTCTAGTCGAGTTTATTGTTTGAGATCCGCATAATACAATACAAGTAAGAGATAGTATATTTCGTGAAAGATGCAATGATGATCTGAGGCGATCAATGTTGTTTGGTGTCGTGATATTTTTGGGAGAGTGTAAAGATTTTTTGCTAACAGTACTGCAAAAACAGTAGAAATTTGCCGACATTGAGAGGTTTTACATCACTGATACTCTCCCTTCCGGTCAGGCTACCGCTGGAAAGGTGATGAAAATTAAGCATCGAACTAAAAGAGAACTTTACCTGATATGGATGATAAGTGTCCAGAATTGCATTTATTCGTGTACAAACGTTTTCCATTGACCAAAAAATCGTTAAATTGTCAAGACCATTGAGAATTCGATAGATAATTTCTACCGGTAATGTAGTCAGTGTTGGAATAATTCTGTCAGACATTGTTGAAAATTATAAAGATGTGTGCAATTTTGATGTTTTTTATATAAAATGTGTAGTTGGAAATTTCTTTGTTTCATTTATTTCGTTTTTTCCTTGTGTCGTAAGTTTTTCATGGTTGTGTAATTACTTGTTTGGAAGAGATGCAGAAGAACTATTTTAATGATCAAATGTGAAACTGCTATAGTAACAGTCACATTTTACCTCCTTTTTTGTTGACTTTATGTATCCCATTGTATGACTTATGTATGAAGGGTGGGGTGTGAGTGTGCTTGTGGGTGTGAGTGTGAGTGTGGCGTGTGGATGTGGATAAATAGAAGAACCATACCCAGTTCCAGCCACACATCTGCTCACATCTACTCACATCTACATCCACACCCACACCCTATGAATGATAATATTGTACCTCCATCTCCTCTACTGTCACTAGGATCGATGATAATAACAAAATCAACAAAAATAGATGAAATAATTTGCTCTCATTATACCAAATATGGCAGATGATTATGGGTGGGGTGTGGGAGGGTGTGGGTGTGGGGTGTGGGTGTGGGTGTGGGTGGGTGGCTGTGGGTGGGTGGCTGTGGGTGGGTGTGGGTATGGGTATGGGTGTGGGTATGGGTGTGTGGGTGTGGGTGTGGGTATGGGTGTGTGGATGTGGATGTGGGTGCATACGACGAGAAGTTAAATAAAGGCACACCCACTCACACCCACACCCTGGTATAATAAATTATTTATTATCAAATTGTGATGATTTAAATGAAATAGGTATTATTATTGTTGATGAATTATATTGGATTGATGAATTAAATCATGGTTATTCACTTGAATTGTTATTAAGTAAAATAATTTACTATAATCATTTAAAGATAACAACAAATAATTTTGTAAAAATTATTGATATGAGTGCGACAATACCTAATCTAAATCAATTAGCACAATGGTTTGACATTGAAGTTTATGAAACAATATTTCGTCCAATATCACTTGAAGAATATATTAAAATTGATAGAATATTATATAATAAACAATTTATTTCTATACGAGAACTTCATTTATCTGATCGATAGAATCAAAGTGATAGTGAACATATAAAAGAAATTATCTGGAATGTTATAGAAATAAATTATTATTGTGTACTTATTTTTTGTTCAACTAAACATTGGTGTGAAGTTTTAGCAAAATTATTAGCTAAAAAATTTCGATGTATTATTCAGGATAAAAAAAAATAAATCGATTTAACGCAATAAAACTTAATGATATTATTGAACAATTATGTCATACTGTAAGGAAATTAAGACAAAAAACTTTTTGATTTATTATTATTTTTTTTTTCTAGTCGGTTGGTCTTGATTCTGAACTAGGTTGTTTAATACCAATGGGTATTGCTTTTCATCATGCTGGTAGAAAGAAAAGCTTTTTGTTATATAATGATTGAATATATATCAATATTTCAGGTTTGACAATTGATAAAAGAGAATTAATTGAAAATGCTTATCGTGTGAATGTTATTTGTGTTATTGTTTGTACAAATACATTAGCTAGTTGGATAAAATCTATTTAAGAAAAGTTTATTGTGATAAACGTAGATCACTTATTTCGCTCATTGAATATCTAAAGCCTATTGAAAAGTGTTCACAAACAAGACAGTTTATTCTCGGTTTACGAAACAAGTAATTTGAAATAAAGTAGTCGGTTCATGAGTATTACTAAATTAAGATCTAACATATATAGTTCATTACATTAGATAATAATTCATAACTTTCAATTTTCTTAATAACTTGATATGATCTAAGACAGCTATTATTATGGTTATCATAAACTATTCAATGAAGTAACAGTGTCAATACATGCATTTAATTGAAAAACTTTTCCTTGAGTTTTAGATGAGAATCATATCGTAATGAAACTATTATCAATATTGAAGATCATAAATTTTCAGTCGAATATAGTTGTAATGTTTTATCTGATTAAGTTAATCTTCCTACTTGTCTAGTTATTATTCGAAGTGCACTCGAAAATGGTCGTTGTATTCATCTCAATACTTGTCATCAAATAGTATGCTTACATTAATTTGTTTACGTATAAAAATTTATGTTTTCAGGTCGATCGAGCAGGACGAAAAGGCAATGATGATTATGGTAAAAACAAAAAAAAATACTTATTATTAAATTTGTATTTAAATTATTTTGTTTAATATTAGCGGAAAGTATTTTGATTTGTTCGAAAAAAAAAGAAGTTGATCTTGTACAAAAAATGTTTGAACAACAAAAACTAAAATCAATAAATACGTAGTTGTTTTTGTTTTTTTAAACAGAAACACATACAAGTTTTAAACGAGCTTTACTTGAAACTATTACAAGTGGAAAAGCAAATACTAAATAACAAATTATTTCTTTTATTAAACTCAACTTTTTTCTATATTTGTTGTTTAAATTCAGATATAAATCAATAATTGATGAACAATTAACTATTGATAAATGTCTTAATTAGTTATATGATAATGAACTTATTCATTGTATAGATAAGGAAAATATTGATAATGGAAATAATTTACCTTATGAACCAATACAACTTGCTTTAGTAGTTATCAGTTCATCCGTCAATCCGAATGATGGACTTAAACTTATTGTCGAATTGAATTAAAACTCAACGAAATTTATGTATTGAAAACGATTTACATCTCATTTATCTCGTAAGTTACATTTCATCAAAAAAAAAATATATATGTATATAAATTGGATCTAATATAAATAAATTCAGATCATTCCTCAATATTTAATCAGTTCAATATTAAGAACACTCGATTGGAATATATATACCATACTGTTTGGCCAACTGGTGCTGTTGAAAAACATGTTGCACATATTGTTGGTGTTAATGCAATGGTTGTTCTTAAGAAAAAAAGAAAAAAAAAAAAAAAACAGCATCATTACCTATTGAAAAACGTCAATATGAAGAAAAATTAGATGTATCACGTTATGCACGATTTTTTCTAGCACTTATTCTTAATGATTTATTATCTGAAAAGTCAATAAATGATATAATAAAAAAAAAATATTAATATACAAAAAATTTTATACAATAATTCCAACAAACAACAGCAGCATTTACATGTATTATACAAATATTTGCTGAATGTCTATCATGGAATAATTTAAAACAATTATTAAATGGTTTTCAATCACGATTAAATTCTGATATTAAACAAGAATTATGTCAATTTGTTAGAATTTCAATTTTAAATGTTTGTCGAGCATGACAACTTTTTTCAGATGGTTTTACAACAACTGTTTGATTAGCAAATGGAGATATATATGAAATTGAACGAAGTATTCAGAAAGCTGTATCATTTCAAACGTGAGATTATTTATTCTATAGTTTTTATTTTATTAAAAATCAAAGATTCTATGTAGAGCAGCACAACAATTAGCTGATGAACATATGGATCAAATAAGACGTAATCAATATTGTATTTTTGTACTTGGCCGATCACCATTAACAAATACACAAGCAACACATGAAATAATTGAAGAAGCTAAAATATTATTTCAACATGATTTACAAGCCATGGATTTTGGTATTGTAATTCAAAAATCACAAGTTAATAATAAAGGTTTATATATATTAAAAATAATAAAAATAAAAAATACTTTTATTATCTTATTTTATAGATGATGAACATATATTAGAATTTGATACGGATTCCAATGATGAAAGTGAAAATGAATATGATATATCTTCATCAAGAGTATCTTC